TGGCTATTGTCGTTTCTGATTTCCTCTTGAACTCTCACTTTTCTCTCTTTGAAGTCACTCAATCATCCTCCTTTATATCTTCTACACGTTGTTAAAGATGGTTTCAATGGGTCCCATGTCTGAGAAAAATATCTCAGACTAAATTTCCACTTTCATTCCCAATAGACTCTGCTTGCTGATTAGGTCACAAGGTTTCTGGAAGCTAAATCAGACATATTAGTGTTTGTGACTAAAGTTGTTTAGATCTATATCTATATATCTGTGATAACTGCTGCAAAGATGAGAATGAGTTTTAAATTGATCTTCAAGGTGTTGAACAACGGGGTCCATGGAAACACTTTAGACATTTCTTCTGAACTTATCATTTCATGTCATAGGTTGGTCAACCTTCATATTTTTCTCTATTTTTACTTTTTTCTTTCGATGTGGTGCATGCACCCCAGCTAGAAAACTCACTTACACAAGATCAATATCCCTGGCACTGAACATCTCCTTGGTGTGGGAAATGAGTTCTTATGTATTAGGAATGTCTGTAGAATTTGTTGATTTCGGAGGGGAATGTTTGATTCGCTTCTAAATCTGTTATTAGAAGAACATCCATTTCCTATCCACAGACAATGGAGAGTTTTATAAAATCTAATTAATTTGAGGACATAACTCCCATCACCCAATAATGCTGTTGGGCTTTCGTAGAATGGATTTGTCACTTTAGAAGAAGAACAATTACACCTGGGGTGCATCTGAGTCTGTGCATTATTGAATGGTGTTTGTGGTCTCTCCTCTGTGGACCTTTGAGTTTCTTTGTGTCTGGATACTGATGTAAATGAATGTAGGAGGATAAATTGTGGCCCTCCAAAGCATGTCCCCCTAAAAGCCCAGGAAGTGATCTTATTTATAATAAGGATCTCTCTGCAGAGTAATTACAGTAGGCATTTTGAGATGATGGACTTGGGTGGCCGGTAAGTTCAGTGGTGAGTCCTTACAAGAGGAGAGAATGGAGAAAAGACACAAAAGCAGAGAGAAGATGGTGGTAGAGATTGGAGTTTTGCACCTACAAGTCAAGGAATGCTAAGGGTTCTGGCAGCTATCAGAAGAAAGGAGAGGAGCACCAAACAGATTTTCTCAAAGCCTCCAGAATGAGTCAACCTTGCTGATACCTTGATTTCAGATGTCGGGCCTCCAGAACTATAAGAGTAAATTTCTGTTGTTTTAAACCATCAAGTCTGTGGCAATTAATTATGGCCACTGTAAGAAACTGAAATGACGAAGGTCAAATGAGAAGTATTTTTCCATACTAGTAAGGAGCTTGTTACCTAATGCAGGTAGCTGTGTCAAACTGTGGCCTCCTGGGCTAAATCTGGCTGCTGCCTGTTTTTATAAATAAAGTTTTATTGGAACATACTGTGCTTACTCATTTTTGTATGGCTGCTTTTGTGCTACAACAGGGGAATTGAGTGTTTGTGATAGAAACTGTAAAACCCACAGTTTTGAGTATATTTGCTAATTTTTTTTTTTTTTTGGTGAAATGCAGATTTACCTAAGAAAGGGACAATGGTAGAGAATTTTGTGGCGATTGCTTTGGCCGCCCTTTACAATATTTGCCTTGACAATCTATCTGTTAGTATTTTGCATTTGCTTAAAGTTACATCTTTTCTGTAGAAGTAGAGATATTGATTAAAAGGGGTTTGACAAAAACAGCAGATCCATAGGATTCGTGTAGCCTCAGGGTAGATTGTTTGGTTCAACCTCCTTATTTTGACTTCCTGGACTTAATGTGAATTGGAAGCATTATTAGGTTGGCAGGATTGAGTAAGCAATAAACATACTCTTAGAATAAAGAAAAGAGCTATCTATCATGATATTGAAGGCCCGTCTCTGAGATGGTCCTGGGTGCCTCTTATTTGATTAGTAATGAGAGTGTGATTGGATGGGCTTTCTCGGGTGCGTGAGGTTCTTCTGGTTCCTAAATGAGATGTGGTAACTGAATTTAAGTATTTATGCAACAATAGCTTGTTTGTTTACTTTAGTATATAAAAAGGTGTTATTTCTCTGTTGAGGAAGTCATCCTCAATGATGATGCATGCTTTTCTCTGAATTTTTATAAGTTTGCTAGGGAAATAAGGATTTAGGAATTTGATCATTGAACTTCTATATGAACATCTCTATTTGGCTTTGAAAAGTGGCTACTCTGAACACTATACATATACTCAGAATGTCACAGGTAAATAGGGGCTTGGAGATTCTGTGAATCCAGGGCTTTCATTTTCGGGTGAAGAAATTGAGGCTTAGGGAGAGGAAGTGATGTATATTACAAAAATGAGTTGAAAATAATAATATTCAATTATTACCCAAGGAAATAATTGAACATTTAATTACAAAAATAACAATTAAAAATTGCAGATAACCTAAATTTGAGAAAAAAAAAAGAACTAAATTAGAAAAGATAATGGATAATTAGTTAAGTAAGCTATGGTACATTTATATTCATTCTGTGAATTTATCATAGAATATTTAATGACATGGAAAGATGTTCTTGATATATTCTTCAGGAGAAGCAGCAGAGAATACAACAGAATATCTGGAGCAGAACAAACACACTTAGTTAAACAGGTGAAAGGTTTAAGTGTTTTGTTAAGTTTTTTGCTTATCTCTGTTAATATGATCTCAATAACTTTTCTGTAATAATAAGTAAAATAAAATAATAAATGACAAAGTAAGTAAAATGAGAAAAATGTCTTTTTAAATTATTTAGAATTGAGGATTATTAGGTGACATAAAAATAACCTTCTTTCCTTTTTCTTCCTGTAAAAGTTGGTAAAGTACCATTCATTGTTGCTCATTAGGAGAGGACATTTGTAGGAATCACTCTCTCTCCCTGGCTTAGTTTCTTCATCTGGAAATGAAGGTTGAACTGCTTCTCTAAGTTCCTGATCACCTAGGACACTCTGCATGGTATACACAGTGTTGAGAGTAACCTCTTCCTTGAGCTTACTCACTTCACAGGCCGAAGCAGGAAGCCACGCTTCTTCACTGATCTGGGAACTCTGGGGTCACGTTGGCCTTTTTATGAAGGGGGTTTCTCTTTTTAAATCCTCTTTGTCTTGATCAAGCAGTGGTAATACATTTTCTTAGGAAAAGAATTCTATTTTAAAATTTAATTTGTACTAATCAGCCCCAGGCAGAAAGCCTGCAATAAACTTGGCGTCAATTTTATGTTTTGCTGAAGTTTTGTTTTAGAACAGTGTGCCAGCCCCACTTTCTCTCTCTCTGACATGGGGGTGGGGGCTAGAGAGGAATATTCAGTCTGACAGATACTTTTCAGAAAATGTAACCCCTGCATACTTCAATTGGCCTCTAAAACTTTAATTTGTACTAGAATTTAATGGTGCCCCCCGTTTCCTTCTCTGTTCTTCCCCTGTATTACCAACACCTCAAGCTGTCCAGGATCAAAGGTATTATCCTGTAATGTGTTCAACTGTTTTCTCAATAAGACTTTATTTCTCCAGCATAGGCATTATGATTTTGTTAATTTCGAATCCTGTTCCTGTCTGCCTGGTGTTGAACATAGTGATGGACAAGAGTGCTAGATCCGAAACACAGCAATCCTCTCAGATGCAACCATGCCTCCTGAGGGAAGGGTCCTTTCAATCTGTATTTTTTCTTTTTTTACCTTACTTGGGTTTGTCCTTTCAATGTGAATTGTAGTCAGCCAGCGATACAAACTGGATGGGTTATGGTGCACTCATATGCTGGGATATTGTTGATGTTGGAGCATGGACATTGAGAAAGTTAATTCCGACAATGGTTCATTTGTTCATTCAATCAACAAACGTTTGTTGACTATCGTTCATGCTTATTGACTATTGAACATGGTTAGAGAAGATCCAGGACTTTTGGTATCTGTGTTGTTGGTACAAAATGGGGAGGGAGAGAAGGAAAAAGTTGAAGTGATGTATAGACTATATCCATCCATCCATCCTATCAATATTGATTGCAGGTCTATGAAACTCCTCACATGATTCCAGGGACTACAGGCAAAACATGACTAAGAAGGGCCTAGTTACCTGCTTTGTATAAGGTGGAGCTTGAAACACGGTGGAAACACAGACCATGACTTAATAGCATTATTTCTAGTGATGAGAGACACTGTAAAGATGTATAGCTTTTCATCTCTGTGAAAAAAAAAATACATGATAAGAACAAGATAGAGGAGGAAAATTTTATTTTGGTCCATGGGGTCAATTTCGTCACTTTGGGCCCAAGGTGAGGCAAAACATCATGGCGGAATGGTTTGGTGGAGGAGGGTTACTCACCTCAAGGTGGCCAGGAAGCAGGGAGAGAAAGGGGAAGGAGCTGCAGGGCACACCCCAGCGACCCAGCCCTCCAGCCATGCCCCACCTGCCTACAGTTACCCCACAGATAGCTCTCGAAGTCTCATCATTTCACCTCTGAATATTCCTCTATTAACACAGGAGCTTTTGGGGGCATCTCATATCCATACTGTAACAGCAGATGAGGATAATCCAACAGAGAAAGGGGACAGAGGCTGTGTGGCAGCCAGGAAAGGCTCTATGAGGAGATATGACCTAACAAGAGACTTCAGGAGTGGGCAGCTGCTCGTTTGTCTCCTCAGCACCTATATGTGCAGCCTGGATCAAGTCCCTCAGTTTCTCTCCCTCACAGAACTCTTGGTTCAATAAAATGATGTTTAATCATAACAGTGAAGAGTAATGTATCATCATTAATAATGTGAAGCCCTTTTGCATTTAAAGACCAATGGATAAAGTTTGCATGGGGCACTTTTGGTATTTGCATCTGGTTCCTGGCTGCAGACAACTAAGCTCAGGCCCCGTGTGGAGTCCCACAAACCTCTGGGAGAAGCCCTCACAACACTGAGGATGAGAAAACAAGTTCTTCACTGTATGAAGTGTGAAGGTGTTAGTGGGTGCAGGCAGGGAGCCGGTGGGGTATCCTCCAAGTGGAACAGAGTCAACCAGCAGTGTTTTCCAATGCACAATAAAAGTTTATTTAAAAACAATGCATTCAGTACTGTGTTTGGCACATGAGGCAATGGGGCAGGCACATTCACACTTAGATACATTTGGAGAGCTGTCAAAGCAAACCATTGCATTTTCTTCACAGACTACAGTCACAATATACACGCAATTACCTCTATGAAAGATGATCGTCCGTATTCACCAGGAAGGCAGAAGATATTTACACGGTCCTCAGTCCAGCAGTGCTGGCTTCTTTCAGGTCTCTGTGGCCCTCACCAGATGGCAGCTGTTTCCAAGGGCAGGAGAGGCTGCCTCTCCCAAAGCAGGTGAGTATGACTTGTAGGGGCCACGGCTTCTTCCAAACAGCAAGATAAATGGTGCAGTTGGGAAGGGGCAAAGCCTTCCTTCGAAGTCTCTCAGCATAAAATTGCATTTTCCAAAACAAATGCATCCAGTGTGTGGGGGAGGGCGCCAAGGTAATAGCAATATGAGGCATTTCTGTTTCCTGACACATGCTTCTCCTTCAATTCTTTAATTTACATTCGGTGTTCTCCGGCCTTTTCCCTTTTGGTTTCATCATTACTCTGTAAAGAGCTTTGTTCGTCATTCTGCACTGATATAACATTTCCTTAAGATGATGCTAAAGTAAAATGGTGAAACCAAAGTAGGTTAAGTGAGAGAAAACATCACAAACATTCTTTTGTCTTGACTTCTGGTTTATGCTTCCACAATCGATTGTCAGCTTCCCACCCAAGTCATAGAAGTGGCACGGTGTGGTGTGAAACCACCAATTGGGAGACCCACACTGGGATTCCAGGTGGACAGACAAGTTACTCTGACCTTCTGAACCTCACCTCTGCATGGAGGATGAGGATCTGCCATCTAGATCTGAGATGATGTCTAGCTCTGTCGGGTTCCACTGCAGACTTAGGTTACTATCCCATATAACTAAATGATCCTGCATTGTGGTGTGTCAGAGTGTTGTCCTGTGTGCTATTTTCAGTGCTAATTGCTGATGCTTGCTGACTGCATCTCAGTCTGTCATAAACCCCTCCCAGGGCTCTTGGCTGTAAGGCTGCTTTTCTGCACGGTGTGAGTCCAGATCTGGATCTTGCAACGTGGTTAAACAGCATTACTAGCCTGGAGTGCAGTTATTCTAAGTCTTGCAAAATGGTCTAAGGGAAACTTCCCCTCCTTTTTGCAAGTGAGTGAATGATTTTATTTCACTTCTATACTTGTTGTCCAAACTCATTGTCTCCCATGGTCTACCAATTTTTCTTTCCTACCTTCTTATCTAAAAAGGTTATAGAAGTGGCTAGTTCCACAAGACTGGCTTTTCTGTAAATTTATTCATAATATAATGGGGCCTACTGTCAAGTCTCATGTGCATGTAGCTGAGGACTTATCTCTTTGGTGTCAGGAAAAGAACCAGAAGATGAAGGTGTATTTTGTGGTTAGTTACATACAATTTGTTGAGAACATAGAACAACACCAGAACATACACCTGACTCATTTAAAATAAACCTAGGTTGCTGAATATAGAGAAACAAGCTCATTTCCATGATTGTTAAGAACAGAAAACCTTTTAAAAATAATAAATGTTTAATTTGAGTTTCAAACATTGACAATATGGAAATCCCTTACAGAACTTGTAGGATATTTTACTGAAACAAGAAAGTAGATTTGGTCCTTCATGATCTAATTTTGACTCATTACATGAATAAAAACCTGTGGCCATTCACTGTGTTGAAAAATTAAGTACATATTTTTTTTCCAGCATTGCCCTCCAAAGGGCTTAATTAAGACCACCTCAGAATGACTTCTACCAGAAAAGCTGTCCATTTTCAAAGCTTTTCTGTGGATGACCAGTGTATCCGATTTCCAAATCCTCAGCAGGGAGTATGTGCACAGCTATTGGTAAGGAAGGACAGTCTCTTGCTGCCCAGGGCCAGACGACTGCTATGGTTATGTGTTTGTTTTTTTCATAATTCAGCTTTGCTAAGGGCAAAGCATCACATGACACCTTCCTCTACAGAGTTTGCCCACTCACCCACTGAGTTGCCAGAGGTGTTTTGAGTCAGTGGTGTTTCTTGACTGTTAGCAGCTGTTTGAAGGGTAAATAGAGTCCCACTGTGTATACATGCCAGCTACAGGCATGGTGCTCAGCGGAGTGTCCCCTGATGGGGTACAGACCTTGAACCACAGAGCTTTTGCAGGTATGCATGACCAGGTGAGCTGATTGGGTGTCTTGTTCTTTCTTGCTTCCTTTCATTGCCTGGTTTTTTGGATACCTGTGAATTTTGTGCTGTGTCAGGAGGAGGATGAGCAAGTGAACATAGAAAAATACAGAGTTGGGAAAACAGGGATGGACTGTAGGATTAAAAGACAAATAAACAGAAGATCAGTCAAATGTGGTTTCAACTGGTGGTTAAATTACAGAATGTTTACCTGGAGGAATACTCTCTGAAATTAGAAAAGTGTGGCTGATAACCTTGAGTGCTGAGGAGTCTGTTGAGGGGATCCAAATAGCAAGTGGCTAGGAAAATTTTTGAATGACTTAGGGATTCAGCCTAAAGGACACAACATGCTCTTTTACAAAAAATTAGTGACCCTGGCCTAGGTGAAAATGTTTCCCTCCAAAGCCACTGCCAACCTCTTCTGTTGGGTACTCACTGACTTGGAAATTGTTCAGGCAGTGCTGTGCTGGAGCCTGCTCATGTTATGCTGAAGCCAGCTCTTACTGGCTCTTGAAAACGTTTTTGCAGTTTGAGCTGGCTGACATTAAGTTAGTAGCCTAAAATCGGCTATGCTGAAAATATTTACACCGCAGTAATTGGTAAATGCGTGTTCTCCAGAGCCAGTTGTTTAACATGTGGCAGCACATCAAAGGGCTAAAACTGTTTCTGAATCACACAAAAGGGAAATCAGAGGAGCCCTTTAGTACCTCCGATGACAGAGGCTTTGCATGTGCACATCGATAGAAAGAAGCCTGGCTAAAACTTCATTAGAACTGTGGCACCTTCTCCAACAAAGGCTGGAACAAGGCAGCTGGAACAAATGACCCTCTTTCTTACACTGGTTTGGTCTTAGAATTTTAGCCCCTTGAATTTCTTTTTGGATTGGTTTCATCGCTAGAAGACCTTTGCATTTTGGGCAGTACTTGGAGTTTGAGAAATCAGACCCTTCAAGAAACATTTTAGGCCCTGTGAATCGACTCTCAAATTGAATCTGATTGAATTATGTAAATTCCCTGTTTCTCAGTCGGTTCATTTGTAAAGATGAATCACCTGAGATCTGCCCCTTAGTTTGAAATATGGAGTGGAATATAAAGAGCCAGCCTTGGGGTAAAGTATATTAAAGCAATGCTCCCCACTTGGTCCTCAGGTTTCCATCCATTCTGACTAGAATGAGCAATTACCATTCGCTTATGGATCAGTGAATGGTCAATTTAGCTGGAAGAGTTGACTGGTTGGGTCTTTTGTCTACATGGCCATGTATTGTGGAAACTCTAAGGAACATTTGATACTAACTGTATGAGGACTGATGAGGATTCAGCTACCGTGGTTAGCATGCTATATTTGACTGTGCTTTATATTACTGGTTTCCAAAACAGACCACATCAGAATCATCTGGGAACTTTTGTAAGCTGAGCTTATTCCAAGATATGAGCCAAAGGTTTGGGGTGAGAAATTAAGAGTTGTATTTTCAAGAGTTCCTTATTTCATATAGTTTTGCTTGCTGATGGGTCAGTGGTATAAACCAGGTTCTTACTTCAGAACTCTACAGTAAACTTAGAGTCACTTATTCTGCAACAGGTCTTTGACTATGATTCTACTGTAATCAACACCAAGAAAATGAGCTTTGTTGAGGATAAAATGTCTATTAAAACACATATATCTTCAATAGTCATCACAGTAAAAATAAATTTTCAGAAATACTGACATGATACAATAATGACATTCTAAAACAATAATGACATTCCCATTTCAACTGTTACATCTGCATGGCAAAGCAGCCTAAGTGTGAGAGGCATAGTCACTTTGGTCCTTGATATCAATTCATCTGTGGCCTTGATTAATTTGGCCACAGAGTCTAGACAGGTCACTCAGCAAGCCAAAGTGCCCTAGATCTCTAGTACCTGTGGTGTTCCCTCTGGGCTTTTCAGCCACATGGACACAGTCCCAACTCCCTTTGAAAACAAAAGGTCAGTTGTACATGTTGTGGAAGAAGCAGCAGCTAAATAGAAACTTTTGCCTGGTACATGCAAATAATTACAAGAAAAAAGGACCTAAGAAACCAGAATTACCCAGAAAATTGCTCATTTTATCATTCTGAAGATTCACCAAAATTGTTATTGTTGGTACAACTTCTTAGCATATTGAACTAAATATAATAATTCAAAGTCTGATGTTGAAATTACTTATAATAAGGAAAGCATTTCTGAGCTCAAGAGACCCCTGCTGCAAAGTAGGCAGAAGGAAAAATGGGCAGCCATTCTCAGCCTTCGGCTTCTAAACTATGCATACCTGTTACTAAAACGAGGTTTTATTAAGACGAACAGAGTATTGAATAGGATTTCTATTGTCAACTGTGAACTATAAAAAACTGAATTGTGATTTACCAAACAATGATCACCAAGGGGTTCTTCTTTCATTTCAGGGGAGAAGGTGGGTGGTTACCAGTGAACAAATGTATCCTTTATTGCTCTACATGGAGAAATAATTTTTTTTTTCCTTTGCAACCCTTCCAACTTACTTTTTGTGCCCTAAAGATTCCAGACCAAAATCATAGTCCCTTTGAGTCTATCTTCATTTGATCCTGGTAAGTCCAAGATGAGAAAAATTTCTCCAAATTATACAATCTTGGGCTGTCCCTTAGCCTTTCTGTATCTCCATTTTCTCATCTGAAAAGTTGAGAATTAGGACTGGGGAAGCTTATAGGTGCTTATCTTTCCAGTGTCCTAGTACTCTGCAGTCTGATCCCTGATCTGCTGACCTCAGGGCAACAGTGCACTGCTGTCTGAGAGTGTCTAAAATTAAAGAAATGTTCTTCCATTCCTTGACTTCCCCACCAAACTAGTTTGTCGGGGGACTCACATTCATGTCTAACTGGTGACCTGTGCACAAGGAGACTGGCCCTTTGAATGTCCTTGCTGTAGCTCCATAGTCAGCTGCCTGACATTAGGGTCAGACAGATGGCACAGTGGTCACAGTAAGCACTGCTAGGCACACAGAACTTTCCCCATGATCAAGGATACTTAAGACAAGGACACAATAATGGAGGAACTATAGAAGTTAATCATCAAATATGGGAAAGAAACTCTGGATGTGGGAGAAATTCTTGACACTACCTTTAACCCTGTCTCCTGGGATCTACATGTCTGTACACTGGGGGTCTAGCATCAAGCAAGCTGCCAAATGTTAGTTGTTTTTCTTTTCTCTTCTGCAACTTAACTGGTTATTTGTGTTGGTGTCATGGACAGAATTGGGAGCCTTATGGTGATATTTATTCCCATAGGTGAACGTGGGCTCTGCTCTAAGTATTCTAAAAAGGGGAACGTTGCTGACAAAAGAATGTCCTTACCCTAGAACCAACAAAATGAGGTCAATGCAAAAGCCAAGGGGTGTGGACCTATAGTGAGTCAAGTAAGAGGTAAATTACCCTGTGATAAATCTTCCCAGCTCAGTGCACTTGACTCCGCAAGCCTGGGAGCTATGGGAGAGCCAGCAAACTCTGGTTACTGACAGCTGCCTTTCTAATCAGGACACATAGGAGCCACCATGTCTTTTGGTTTAGATGGTGGCTATATAGGTTTAATCTTTGAAACAATCTTTAAAAAACAAAGAGATCTTGTACTATTCACTAGAGGCTGCTTTTCTCAGTGTTGAAACTGCAGGTCAAGGGCATAACCAACAATACAACAATAGGAAAGGCTGCTATATATTGAGCACTTACTATGCACTGAAAATTGGGATAAATGCTTTACCCACATATTGCATCTAATTTTTTTGAATAGGAGGGGAATGTGAACTACAAATGAAAAAAATTATGAAGTCTGAGTATTGTGGATAACCAAACAGGAGGGCTTAAAATTTTCTTCACAAGATTTTTCTTAATAAAGGGAAATGTGGTCTTTAGGGATCACCTTCAAGAAATCCTGTCTAGAATTAGGGATGACCTCTAAGTCCTTCTGGTTCTGGAGATAAGTCCATTTCCCCTCTATTTTGAGTTCCTGTTAAATACAGCTGAAATGATGGTAGGGGAAGGAGAAGGTCCTGTCACTCCTAAGATGGAAAAAGCATTCAGTGAGATTAAACAACAACAACTACAACAAACCTCTCAGAACTTAAAAAACAAACAAAGCTTTACATTGAGATGAAATTAAATTTAAATTTAGTCTGCCTTGGAACAATGAACTGTTTTTAAGGATTCTGTTTTTTTTTGTTGTTGTTGTTCCTTCAATCTGCATGGTTCAAAATGTCTATGTATTTATATTTAGTAAAAACTAATAGGTACATTGGGATTGAAACTCCAGAGTCAGAATCTGGCTCGAGGAATATGGGCATTAAATCACTCAGCTGTAACCAACTGAACTAAGTGCTCAGGAACAGCCAACTACGCATTTCTGTCAGTTATCAATCTCTCTGTGATTCTAACCCAGCGCAGCCTGAGAACAGCAGGATTGTCTTCTTTAAAGTGACAGGGAACATACCACTGAACTTCAGAATGTTTTAAATATCTTCCCTCATAGTTTCTTCATATATGGAATTGTTTTAGTTTCCTGTTTCAAAACTTCTATTCCTACTTCTTCCCATTTATGTAGATGACGACCATACATGATAAGTCATGTCACAGTAGGTACCGTGTTTGAACCGGAATGTTTTTCTTTCACTTTTTCTTTAACCTCTGGATCTATCCAGCTGCTCTGAATAGCTCCCTGAAGCTTTAGGACCATGCAGAACATGAACATAAGGATTATGTCTTTCCTTATTGTATTTGGCTTAATTTTAGGCATGATCTTACTTTCCCAAAGAGGGGCAGTGAACTGACAACTGAATACAGCAATGGTTTTTCATGGGATTTGTGACATTGCAAGCAATCTAGATGAGATTTCTGGAAAAGAATAAACTCTCCCACTCAAACATATAACAAATGTGCTTGACTGGCATTTGGAAAGAAACTTATTAAAATTTAACATCAACTTGGCCAGACTTTGGGCTGAACTGGAAGAACAAAGTGCTGCTCAGTAAGAAGCCAGGGGTGGGGGTGATACGATTTCTACTCCTAAGGCTGAAATAATGAAAGGAGAATGGCCAACTAATTCCTCCATGGCAAGCCTATATAATCTCAAATTCCAAGGACTATTTAGTACTAAGACTCACCACTGCACAATGGCTTTCTCTTTTGAAATACTTAACTTATAGGCATGTAGAACTGATTTCAGGGCAACTAGGGAATATTCAGTGTCTACAAGTGTCTCAAAGCAAACAAACAGCAGGGCCCTGAAATGCTCTCACCTTACCATTATCCACAGAGGATGGCCTGGCTGACCTCCAGCCTTCCTCTCTAGCCCTGCTGGTTCTCAAAGGCTCCAGATGTGCAACATGGTTACCCCATCATGGTGTAGACAGGACAACGGACAACGTAGCAACTTCTAAACAGTCTTTTTCTTCCTTCAGTGTCCCAGTCTCTTCAACTGACTCAATTGCCTCTGTATGCTGAGAGGATGGTTTGGGACTATGGGAAACACCAGGCCTAGGCTGCAATGCCCTTGCAGATGTGGCAACATTGTTATTATCTGCCATAATCACATCCATGCCAAGAGATGCAATGCCACCCACACCATAGGCTTTCTCTGTGATAGTGAAAGATGACCTGCATTATATGCCACTCACCCCAGAGAGACCACCCTGCTGCAGAATGACCATATGGATGAGTGAGGACTTCATAAGATGCATTTCTTATAAAAATAGTCATGAGGGGATTCATCATGATTTTTCTCGGTTTGTCATGAAACATCAAAGTTACCCAGAACCTTGAACACATCAAGTACAGATGCAACACACACAAGCAAAGCTAATTCAATAGGATTCCTAGCAAATTATTAAACTCCGTGGTTGTGGGGCAGGGGAATGGTTTCAGGGAGAGGGAGAGACGTGACAGGGGGTGGGGGAGCAACAGGGAGAGAGGGGGAGAAGGAGGGGGAGGGGAAGGGAGCAGAGAGGGAGATATGCAAACCAATTTTTTGTTTCCATTTTGAAGAGTCTGATCCCACCAGCAAAACAGATTCTGCCCCAATTGGCCTGAGGCCTCTGATTACAAGGACTGTATCTGAGCAGAGCTGCAGAAACTACAGCTCTAGTCCTCATCAACACGGGAGGCAGTTTATTATTAAAATACAAACATGAAAATACTTCACACCATTCTGTTAGCAGCATACTTCCAAATGCAACATTCCCTTTATCAACTGAGCTTAAATTATGTGGCTTCAATGCATCTGTCCTGCCAAGTCTGCTAAGACCATTCAAAGAGTAATGCAAAAGGGGGAGCAGACACCTTTCCTTTTAAGTGGCAGACGAGCCTTGTAAGTCTCTGGGGTTCTACTCTGAAGACTATTCAATTTGATTTGGGGCACTTTTTAAACAGCCATTTGGCACTTTCCATTCCGAGTTCTTAGGCACAGTGTGACAGAGTCAGCTTGGTGAGCCCTTCCCCATGCATTCGATATAGCAGCTGAAACTCAGCAGGCAGCTGGTGGGACTCCTGCCACTTGGTGGTAAATTTCGTTCCTTTTTTGTCATAGTAATGGTACGGAAGATCTTCCCTTGTGTTGGGGTCAAATCCAAAAGGCCAAAATCCATACAAGTGGATCTCTTCACATATTGCTGAGGCAAGGGTGTACATAAGAATACCTGTGCTCAATCGTTTGGGCGACAAGTGTTTGTTTTTCCAGTACCTGCAGAACAATAAGTACACGAGGATTCAGAGGCCAATGTCAAGGCTTCAATCTGATGGGTCAGTTGTACTGGGCTGGGAGATGGATTTGTTTAGACAGTTTAAGTTACATGGATAAATCCACCTCCCAGTCCAGTCACCCTGGCCTTCCCCCTTCCAATTGAAATTTAAAATTCACTAAAATTAAACATGAGGGGAGCCAAAGGATGAGTTTATAAAGAGACAGTCTGGCAGAAGACCTGGCTTCTAGTTCTCCATTTTGGAAGTGATTGTGACGTTAGGTAAATAGTTCTTGCCCTTTATATTTCAGTTGGTTCATCTTTGAACCTGAGAGTTGGGCTCTATTATCTCTGAACGTACATCCTGGTTAATAGGGATTGCCCAAGTCTATGTCTGTTATAGTTGTTGTAATTGTTAACAGGACCCCCTTTCTCTCCAAGGAAAAATTCTGGTTTGGACTATTAATTATGGAATCACCCTACCTTTCAGAGATGCACCCATTTATTAGACATATCAGCTTATTAGAATCCTTTTTCAATGAGAGGTTAACTAGAGATCTTAAATTTGGAAGACTTTAGGGGCTATAGGATGAGAATAATCTGTTACAGAATGAAAATCCTTAAGATTCCCTGGTTACCAGATTTTTCCAGAACCCCACTCTAATTTGTAGTAATATTTGGTGCTCTGTTGGGACACTTTGTCTTCTTATATAGGGGGAATCAGCATTAGGTAATTTGCTCAGATGATTTAAAAGGAAAAAAAAAATCCAACAATTAATCTTGCTTTCTAACATACCCTGGATTAGTGGCTCTCAATTCCAACTGCATATTTGAATCATCTGGAGAATTACTACAAAACCCCAACTGCCTGGTCCCTTTCTCCCTTTCCACCAGAAAAAATTATATTAGATGCTCTTGGGGTAGAGCCCATATAACAGTATTTTTAAAAGCTCTTCAAGTAATTCTTACGTACAACCAGTACTGAAAACCACCAGGTTACAGGAAAACACAGCTGCTCTGGCTAGTCCATCAAATCATAAGAGATAACAAGGAGCTCATAAAATATTTTTCACAGGTTTTTATATTCCAATATCAAATTATAAAGGCAGATAATACAATTTGTGATTTATTTAGGTGGTTTGCTGGCCTTGGACATCTACAAAAATATCTAAACTATCTAAACATCAAACAAAAGGGGCAATTTTGAGCCAACTACACCTTCTTTAAAAACCATTTGCTCTGTGTACTTTAGCCAGTGGTAAATTCTTGATTCCTGGTGTTTTCCATGACTTCTCAGTAAGCTTCCCACCAAGAGGGGAAAAGGGAAGAGAGGAGGGAGACTGATGAAACACCAATCTCTCCATTTGACACTGGGCTACCAGCTGGAGGGTAGACGGAACTTTTTAACTGGAATGATTCATTCATTGATTAAGAAAGAGAAGAGTTTTCCCTAAAGTACTAAAACAACTAAGGATGACTCCCAACCCCCAAGAGGTTACAGTATTGATTTGCCATCTGGTGGGGTAAGAGTTAAATGCAATAAAATATACACACCTGTTGACATGCTGCATTATATTTCCAGGCCAAGCCAATTGGACCTTTAACTGACCTCTGTGTTCAACAAAAAAGTCAACTAACGTTCTGGTAACAGTTGCTGAAGTGTGGAAGAAAAACGCAGGGATCCAAAGAATGGCCCCATCAAGCTTTTTTAAACTGAGGAAAAAGTTGTTACGGTCCTGTATGGTCAAAAGATTGTTGTAATATTTTTCCAGGATGCTGGGGTTGAAGGTGGTAAGGTTGGTTTTCCTTCCAACATCTCTCTGGAAAGCCTCCGTAGGGGCGAAATTGCAACGAAAAACAAAATCTGATTTATCTATTTCTTGTCCACACTGGCTCCCTGTCAGGATCCCACTATTTCCAACCACAGCACAAATATTATAATGCTTATTCAGAATGGGTGACACTTCTGGAAGCAGTGACCGGAAGTTATTGCTAATAGAGAAAACATATTTATGGCTGGAATAGTCATAGTGCATCAGTTGTCCGATCCGAACACTATTCTTGGTCAAAGAAAAATTTTTTATTACATCGACATGCTGCAGAATTTCTTGCCTAAAATAAAAAGAAATTCATTAAATGCATTCCATTCAAAAGAACCGAGTTTCCATCTTATGTCTTATGCTGCCATTTCATTCAGACAAGAATCTCAAGTACATTGAATTCAAGGGCTACACATTCATAATTGTGGTCTTTGAAGGGAGGGCTGCAGTCAGAATGTATAGGAATGTTGCAATCTTTCAGTCAGGTTTGGAATGTAATCCTCTGAGGTTTGTAAATGCAACTTGCAGTTTTTTTGCTTTTCTGATCTACTTGAGGAATGTTATTTGACCAGGAAGGAGGTGTATGCCAAACTGTGTTAGAAAATATAGGGAGACAATTTACACAGGCCCCAAAGAGCTTACATTAGTGCACAAACATTGGTGACTTAAGAGTTTGTAACTAGGGACTACTTGTTTGCTATTGGACTGCAATGTTTAAGAATATCAAATATCACTGGTGTCCAAATAAAAGCCAAAGAGATATGAGTCAGTACAACACTATCTATTATTAAAATATGAAAATGGGAGTAGCAGTGGATGTAGTTGAATATTTAATAGAAATGAGATGATAATCTCATTAAGACCCCTTGAATAATGAAACAGGATATTTTCCTGCTTGATTATGTAAAAACAGAATTTAGTGGGATATATCAAATCCTTAGAAACAGAGTCTAATGTAACACTGAAAATATATGTATATTTGAAGAATAAGGAGCTTAAGACAGGAGTGAAACATAAAATGAACTTCAGGTTGATTTCTTATTAATCTTTAAGTAAACTTGTTTCCTTTTAAATGCAAACCCATTAAAATATTTAAGGGACCAGTAATGCCTTACTTTGCTGCTAGATTTCCCAGTGCTAAGAAATTACACTGAAAATCCAGTCTTTTTGTTTAAAAATATCAGGAATGAAATGAAATGTTTTGAAACTTGCTTGGACTTTCATTTTTAAAAAAATACTTCATTATTCAAAGTATAGAGCAACATCAACTGACATCTCCAATCCAAAATTTCCGAAGTGATCAGTACTGTTTTACTGATTATAAAGCTGTTATAAAGGCAAGGAAAGTTTAAAATGATACTGGTGAAAATTAAAGGTTACCTAATAAGTGGATTGAAAGGAGGGAAGTTTTAAAAAAGAAATGCCCTTCTGATTGGTCATCAGGGTCACATGACCTAGTGGGTTAGGAATGTTTTTATTGAGTAAGATATGTGTTTTGGGAAAAGGTATATAATGTGTTCTATCCTTGAAAATTTGGGGGTTATTTATAAAATGAATATTGGATTAAAACCCCAAAAGTTTTTAAAAAGCACCCCAAAAATTTCACAAAATCACTTAGGGGGTTTTTAATATTACTCAAATTTCCTGAACTAATTTTGGATTAAACATAAATATTTAAAAATATGTAATAATAGTCATATGGTTGTATGTCAATTTTTTTGAATAAACATTTTCCTGACACCATGAATATTTACTGAATATGTTTTAATTTTGCCAGTAGATTACACATTTTTAAAAAGAGCAGTAACTAAAAATGGTATGATCAAAACAACTCCCTAAACAGACTAGTCTGTAAAAATAAGAATTCACACCCTTCATGAATACACTAGATGGCTCACATTGCATCCAGCAGCACGATAATCCCACCAAAAGGAAGAAGCAATGACTTATGTGTGTTTCTAAGAGAAGACCAGAATCCCTGAGGAGAATAAGTAAATTTGAGTAAATCTCATTTTGTTGTTGTTTTACATGGGGTGAGGACCCCATGTAAAACAACAACAAAAAACTTTTTCATATATAAAATGAGGCTGCATCAATTAATAAGAATGACCTTAGACAGCTTTATAGTAAGTTAAAAGCTGTAAAAACTTAATGAAAACAACTAGGCAAAATCACAACAGTCCTAAATACCTGCTTATATTTGGGCCCACCTCCTCATCAGGAATTTGATGGAGATGCTATTTCCCGTGTGTCTCAATGAAATAATACAGTTTTACTTTATTTTTCATTTTTCCCCCCAAATGAGCGAATGAAAATGCACTGGGCAGTCTTGAAATTAACTACGGGGCTTTCTTCTTCTTCTTTATTTTTTTAATGGCTGTCTGGCTTTGGTAATCCTAGCCAGACTTGTTAACTGCAAGTCATGGTGTTCTTTCAAGCCCAAGTGAGGGAGGATATTGGAAATACGTATTTTTTTTTTTTTTCCCTATTCCAATTGGTCATTCTGGTGTTTCCTATTTAGAGAGGGCACTACACTCACTGGAGAGGGTAACCAATAATGATTGTGCAGTTAGGCCAGGAAGACAGGGCAAATACACTGGGGGTGGGGGAGAGGGGGAAGGCAGGTTTTTCTTGTTTGGGATTTGGATTTGTTTTTGTTTTGTTCTTGGAGCTTCGGAATTCAAAAGCACCTTTTAGATGGGTTCTTCCTCTCCTACCTTTGATGTAAAAACGCTGTCCGATTAAAGGTCCACTTAGAAGGTTTCTCTTGGAGCTCCTGGGTGAGAGAATTCGTAATGGGCACAAAGGACGGGTCTAGAAACTTCAGCGCAAACTGTGACCTGGAGAGGAGCATGAGTACAGACAAACGTGCTGGCCTCAGCTCGGGGAAGCCGAGGTAGCCATTAAAGTCCAGCCAGCTGGGGCCGGGGGCAGCTGGAGCGCGCAGCGCTCACCCCGGAGCCCCTCTCATTTGTTCCACCCTCTACTACTAGACGCACCGGGTAGAAGGAAGGAAAACCTGGGAAACCCCTCTCCATTGTCCATCCCTCCGGGTGCGGGAGAGACCATAAAATGGCCGTCACGCAGTGAGCAGGGGCGGGAGCCGGCAGCAGGGCTGCAGCCGGCAGCGAGGCCAGGAGCAGGGAGTCAGCACCGCGGACAGCGGCCGCGCCGCTGCCAGTGCGACCCGCGACGCCCCCGCGGCCCGAAGGAATTGATTTTTGGAGAAAGGGCCGAGGAACTGGAGACTCGGGGAAGAGTGCGGGAGGGGCTCCTGCCTTAACCTCTTCCTTCCCGAGCCTGTGTCTGATTTCACTGCCCACCCTCCACTGGGGACCCCGGAGGCCGCCGCCAGCTCTGCTCCTGTGCCCAGGCGGGGCTTCCCTAGGCTCGCACCTCTGGCCCGGCTCGGACCACAGGTTGCAGCAGCCCGTGAGGAGGCCCTGCTGGCGAGCTCCTGGGCACAGGTAGGGGCGGGGGCTCGCCAAGAATCGTGGGGAGCGGCGACTTCGACCCAGGCGAGGGTAGGCGGCCCTTAGGAGGCCAGTGTCCCACTGGGGCGGGAGAATTGCAGAAATCGCCGAGAGAGGAGGGCGGCAGTGAGGGGAAAGGGCCGAGGGAGAAAGCCCTAGGGGCTTCGACAGAACAGACCCGCGCATCCTTTGATGGGGAGGAGGGAGGAGAGGAGGCGAGTGCGAGGAGAGTCGGCGCCTGCGCCATTAAATCGCCCGCACCGCCGGGAGCCCAGCCCGCGGAGTCTGCGGACCGCGAGCTGGGAGGGTGCTCACCTCGCGCCTGTCCATCTCGCGGATCACTCCCCCCACCGCCCCCCGACGCCGTCTCTCCCTCCACCATCTTTCTCCTTAACACCCCACCCCCCATTTCTGAAATGGGGGAAGGGATGCCGAGGAAGAATACAAGAAATGCAATAATATCGATCAGGATTACGAGTTTTAGGGGCTTTGGGTTAAAAAAAAATAAAAGGGAGAAGGAACAGAGAATCCGAGAGGGGAGTGGAGGACCACTCAGTTTGTTTGCCCAAAGTGTCTCAGATGAGCCCCAACACCCCTCTCTGACCTTACCCCGACACATCGTAAACTAGACCGATAGCCCTGGGCGCTCAGGTAGAGGCCCGCACTCACCGGAATCCCGCGTGGAACATGTACATTCGGGGCGCCCCCGGGCTGGCGTACTTGGGAGTGGTGAAGATGTTCTCCTTTTTCAGGGACACGTAGCTGATGAGCGATAAAATCAGGAGGGCGACGCTGAGCATGACCAGCCCCAGCACACTGGCGACCCGGGCCATTTTGCAATTTCTCATCCCGTGCAGGGCTGGGATCAGGGAAACCAGGGAAATCGGTCCATTGAGCGGCCAGCAGCTCGCTGGCGTGTCAGTGAGTGTGTGTGTATGTGTGTGTGTGTGCGTGCGTGCGCGTGTATGTGTGTGTGTGTGCTCTCGGGCGCGTGTGAGCGTGTGTGGCGGGGGAGGGGGAACCTGGGCAGCCGAGCAGCGGAAGGCCGGGGGGGGGGGCGGGCGTGAGTCGCTGGAGTAGCGGGACCCCCAGGGCCGGAGCCAGCGGGGCCCAAGCTGAGCAGGAAGATGGAGGGGCTGCGCGGCGGCGTGGCGATGGAGCGCGCCGCGCTGTGCGTCTCTGGCCGCCGGCTCAGGCTCCCCCGCGCGTTTCCAGCGAGGCTGCCATCTCCACCGCCGCGTGCAAGATAAATGTGATTGGAATAATGTTACAGTTCGATCTAAGCACAGGATTTAATTAATGAACTCTAATCTCCCAAATAACGGGGGGGGGGTGCAGGAGAGGGAGGGAAGAAGGGGAGGTGGTGGAGGGAGGGATGTGAGGCTAGAAGGCTTCAGCCCACGCCTACCGGCCTCCCTGGCTGAGGGTATCCATGAGGAGGTCGTGGTAAGGAGACAGACACCCAAAGTTTAGTGTAATGGACCATTCATTACTTTATAAAATATATCATGGAACAAGGGGGTAAATAACTGAATTTGCTATTCGGAGGATAAACACCAGCTGGTTGCTTTTCAGAAATGCAGGAAGAATGTTTTTTAGGATGACAAATGTTTAAAAGCTTTTCTTAACCACCCTCAGCCCCATTGACCAGCACCTGCCAAGGCACCTCAGTAAGGAAGTCCCAACAGCAGCGGGGCTGGTCTGCTTTGGTAGTAGTTAAAACCCTGAAATTTTCTAGAATGTCTCCTTGATCCCCTTTCTATGCCCACCACATAACTTATCTCTAAAAGGTGGATACTGCCTAGCAAGTTGTGAGGTGAGTGTGGTGTAGAGGCCTGGCTCCCTCTCTTCTGTCCCATGCACCCAGAAGGTGAACAAGCTTGTCTGAGTTGACCAGATCTGGATCATTAGCCCTGATTGAAGGATACATTGCACCTCTTTCATACCCACCCCTATGATCAATCTCCTGGCTTTGCTGGGTGGTCTGACTTGCCCAGAAGCTGAGGACATTATAAATGCACAAGATTTCTTTTTCAGGATCCCAAGAAACAGGTTAAAGAGGCTACCTCTGAGGGTGGTAGGAAAACTCACTTACAATTTGTATTGCTTGACCTTAAATTTATTTTAGCATATTAATTCATATGTTATCTTTTTAATATTCATTGAAAATACAGATGAATCCATTTTTAGTCACATTGGGTGGTGAGGAGTAGCTCACATCATGTATTTTAGCTCTGCCCCTTGCAACTGGTATGGCTTCTTCGACCCTATTTACCCTTGGCTTGGTCCTCAAATTTTCATCAGTAAGCACTAATGAAAGAAGCTGGAGGTGAGAAGTTGGCCTTCAAGAGCCTTTTCCCAATAAACAAGAAGAGATATTTTCAAGAGAGTTAGGATTTCTTTCTCTCCTGAAAGTCTTGCCTTATGGACTTGGGTGGACTTACCTTACTATGTTTTGTCAGGGGACTGTAAATTCTCCAAAAGGGTAAGCTCCTAGGCTGTAAGCTCCTGCAGAGCAGGGACCATGTCTTCTTGGCCAGTACTGACTCATATAGAGGGCATGTTTCCTACATGTTTGAGGACCAGATGAGCTTCCTTGTGACGCATATCTGCTTGGTTGTAGACAGTGAGTGGCAAGCAGACTGCTTCTATTTCCAGTGACAAAGGGGGTCACTTAATACCCATTAAAGATATTTATGTCAAAATAAAAATGTGGGTCAGGAGGACACAGATAATCTTCTTTTCCCTGTGGGGCTTTTTCATTATTTAAAACATTTTTGAAAAGTGCATGCCTCAATATGATGAGTACTTGAGTGGAATTTTTTAAAGTAACTACCATGTTTTTTGTTAGAAGATCACATGAGTATAAATGTCCAAAGGAGTAAGATCGTATAAGAGTTATCTAGGAATTAAAAATGTTGGAGGAAAAAAAAGGTCAAGGTAACATGCCACGGGGATTCAGCCAAGGTAGTGGCTCTACTGTCAGGCTCTGGAGCTAGGCAGACCTTACCTAAATGCTGCCTCTGGCACCTATGAGCTACGTGACCTTGGGTGAGCTCTCAACTTCTCTGTTTTTGGCTTCTCATTTATAGAACCAGGATAAAAAAATCTCAGAATTTGGAGTGAGATTAAATACCCTGGCCTGTGACCCCATAAATGCCCTTCTATAAAACATACCAAGGAAAAACATACTTGGGTGAAGTATTTTCCTACAAAGAATGGTGAAGATCAGGTTCAAGTTCAGCTTCCTCTAAAAAACAGTGTTCTGGGCTTCCCTGGGACCTATAATATGAATTTGCTGTACCTAGATTTTAAAAAATTGATATGCTGCTTCTACTTGGCACACCTCTGTGCACCTTTGAAAGGAAGTTCTAGTAGGATGATTCCTATATTGCATATGGTTCATTGAAGGTCACATGATATAAAGGAACCAAATTAGCCAGAAAATAAACAGGCAGGCAGGAATTCTTATTACATGTACCAGGCTGATCTGTGATTGCTCAGTAATTACCAGGGGGATAATCCTGATGGTGGTACTTCAAAGAGTAACTGGAGCTGCTGGATAAGGGGTTTTCCAGACCTGGGATTAAAGCTATTTAATAAACTAAAAAATAATTAGGATCTTTTTACAAAATACCACTTATCAAATTTTACTAGCATCAGCCCTGTGTGTAAGTATAGGAGGGCAAAAAAACCCAACCAACCAAACAAAAAAAACCCCAGCAATGAAAATTCCCTTGGCTTTAATATTTTCTAGAGGATTTGTTATTTGGGACACAGTATTAACTTTCCCTTGCCCACCCCTATGAGTGCCCACTTTTTGCAACATGCTCTGTTATTCTGTGTCCCTTCACCAACCCATACCTACCAAGAACAATTTCCAGGTACATTGGGGTCGGAAGGCCAGGAAAGTTGGTGTCTTTTATTAGAAACAACATTGTGCGTTCTTTTATTCATTCGTCTCTATTTTCTTTCATAAATCCACTAAATAAAATGTGCTGATTATCAAAAACTACAGTAGGCATACTGGGGGGTTATAAAGTCACCTTTGACCTCATGATCTTGTGGGGGAGAAGAATATAAACAACAGAAGACTGATGAAAGAACTAAACAATGACCTCTGTCAGCACAAGGTCAGTGGAATTCTTCAGCGGGCAACATTTGGGTTAGGTCTTAAAGCATAAACAGGACTTATTAGATAGAGGATTTTAGAAAAGGGTATCCCAGGTAGAGGCAGGGAAGGTTTGCTGAACAGCAGGAGGTTTGTGGTGAATGCCCCAAAGACAAAGACAAAGAGCAGAGAAAGGGAGTTGGGGTCAGACTGAGAAAGGCCTGTCGGACAGGAAGATATCCAGTGGTGGAGATGGCCAGTGTGTGGGTCAGCTTTGTATTCGTGTGTTCAAAACATCTGATAAGAATAACTTGGAGGAGGGAAAGTTTACTTTGTCTTATGGTTTCAGAGATTTAGACCACGATCACTGAATTCATCCTTTGTGTTCAAGGTGGGACAGAACATCATGGTGGAAGGGCATGGTAGAGAGAAGCTGCTTGACTCATGGTGACAGGAAGCAGAGAGAGAGCAGAAGGGGCCACAGGGAAGATGCACCCTTCTAGGGCATGTCCCCAGTGACCCACACCCTCCAGCACATCCCACCTGCCTACAGTTACCACCCTCCTAGTCCACTTAATCTAGGATGGACTGATCAGGTTCCAGCTCTCATGATCTAATCATTTCACCTCCTGCATCAACACAGGAGCTTGTGGGAGACACTTCATATCTAAACCATAACAGCTGGTATCTTTAGCAATACTGCTCAGGACTGTCCAAAGTTTGTAGAGAGCAATGAGTTCATGATTTGCCCTGAGTAGAAGGAGAAGCAGCGGGAGTCTCCCATGTGGATGTCAGAAGTCAGCTGTTGTGTCCAGTAGCCCTCCAGCCTGATCACATGCTAGAAGTTCCAGCATGCCTCAATTTAGCAATGAATTTTCCATTATGGGACACTCCTGAATAAGGCATGAGGGAACTTTCAGGAGGGTAAGTAACCCTGGCCAGACAATATGGGGCTTGTAGTATACAGAGGGCCGGGAGAGTCTATCAGGAAGCTGCTTTTTGGAACTCCATGTTCCTGGAGGTCTTTCTGCATATTATTGACTTAATATCTGTTTTAATAAGTCTAGCCATGGCCACTGAGAAAGAATCTTGGGGTCCTCTTGTTTTCCAATTCCTATTTCCCCACAAAAGGTAAGTACTTTATGAGTTCAGTGGTAAGAAAAGTCACTATGGCCAGAGATATTGCCACCAAAGCTCTCAGAGGCTAGAAAGATGCTTGAAGTTTCCAGAGATGGAGACAATCAGAGAGGGCAGGGCAGGCAGGGCAGCATGACTTCTACCAGGATGACAGTGTGCAGGCAGAAGAGGGAAGGCTTGGTGGGGTCAAGGAGAAGATATACTTCCTTGGAGTAAAGTGAAGGGAGCCCAGGCACCCAGGCACCCAGAGCACGCGTGTGCCAGCACTCTTCTACACTATGTGGTGGTCCTGTTAGGAAGGCATGATATTTTTGCTTTACAGTTGAAAAAACTGATGTTGAAAGAGATGAGGGATTTGCTCAAGGTAAAGTCCCTCTAGCTCTAAAGCCACCTTCCACTCGCCCACACTGCTTGTGAGTGAGTCCTGGGATTGTGGCTGGACATAGAAGCAGGCCTGGGGAAGAGTAGAAGCACCAGCCTTTGCAGCGGGAGCCAGTTATTTCTGCTACTACTGGTGATGCTAACAATGCTGAAGCCATCTAGCATTTGTTTTTCACTTGCTCTGTTTGTGTATTGTCCTAGGCAATTTCCATAACTGGTCTCATTCCATCTCTGTTCTGTGCCTTTGAAGACATATGGAGGGTCCCTGACTTAATGTTGGTTTGACCTACAGATTTTCAATTTGCTATGGTATTAAAACAATGGATATTCTATAGGATCCATACTTCAAATTTTGATTTTTGATCATGTCTCTGGATAGCAACATCTGGTAATACCCTCTCTGCTGAGAAGCAACGAACTGCATCTCCAGCCAATTACACAATCATAAGAGCGAACAACTGAGAAATCATGATGTACGGTGTTATCAGTGTTTTGGGGTACAGATATTCAATATTCAACACTTTGCTCTAAAATGAGTTTTGTGTTAGATGATTTTGCCCAGGTGTAGAATAATGGGAGTATGTCTGAGCATGTTTAATATAGACTGAGCTAAATA